ATATAGAAGAGAGTTGCCTCTTCTTCTTGAAAAGAAACTAGGAGATGGGAGGAAAAAAAATACTAGAGGGACATAAAAAAAAAATATTTTTAAAGAAAATGATACGCTGAGTATCTTAATAAATTTAAACATATTAATTTAATATATTTTACAATAAATATTAGAATTAAGGATGATAAGAAGATTAGTCTAGTATGAATCTTATCGAACTCAATTTAACTTTCCTTAATAAAAAGTAAATCCAAACTTTCTTTGACCTCATACGAGTTTGAATTTTTTTAATTTTTTAGACCGTATCAAGTTTATTAACTATCCGATTCGAATCCAATCTGGTTATTTTGTTATATTAATATAAATATAATTATATCTATATTAATAAATAATTAAAAATATATTTTTAAATATATATAATAATATATAAAAATTATCTTTATCAATATAAATAAAATTATATTTATTAATATAATATATTTTATTTATTAATATAGATATAAATATGTTTGTACTAATAAAAAAATAAAGAATACATATACATGACAGATTGAGTTTGAACAAGTTTTGAAAGGTTAATCCGAATTTACTCCAATATACTCTTCTCTTCTTGCCCAATTGAAATTCGAGCTGACTCGAACAATTTAGCAAAAAAAAAATTATATGAGGTTAAATTCGAAAGAGTCAGATTAAACAGATTCAGTACAAAAATATCATTTTTACCTTGAGAAATAAAGTTTTTATAATGTAATTTGGAATCTCAATAAAATAAATTGTATTTTTTGTAATATTCAAATGCAATCACAATTTTTTTTAGAATAACACAAATCTAAGTAATGTTTGAATAATTTGTTATATTTAAAAGAATAAAAGAGTTCCTTTAAAAAATAAGTAAAATATTTATAAGCTCTCAAAAGTTCTTTTTTAAATAATTTTTAAAGTAATTGTCCTAAAAGTATAAATTAATTTTAAAACGTTGTTTATATTAAATTTATACTTAAATGACTTATAAGAAAAAGCTTTTTTAGAATTAAAATAAATCAAAATCATCCGCCTAAAAAATGGTGTTAGTGCAAGAGCGTCCTTGAGGTGCGATGCAGATGTTGACCGACTTAGGTACAACATTGTCCTAAATTTGAACACGTGTCATGGTACATTCGTAATTCCATCAAAAGCAGATACCCATTTTGGAGATTATAGAAGAAAAAGGAAAATAAAAGAAAGCTTTTGATTTGAAGTTGAGCACGGGATTCATTCACTGCTGAAAAAGAAGAGAAAAGAAAGCACAAAAACTGCCTGTGCTCATTTTGCCATTGTTCTCTGCTCCTCTCTTCTCTGCAACTTTAAATCCATGGTGGCGATTCTTGTTTTCTATTTTTGAACGCCTCAATAAAGCCAAACCCAAAAACCCAAAAGCATAAACCAAACTACTCTCGTTCTCTCTCTCTGAGTCAAACAGACAGAGAAAAGAAAAGAGTGCCTTGTTCAAAAAAATTCGACTTTTCTCGGAGCCTTTTGTGTTGAAGATCTTCAAAATTCTCAATTTGTCTCTAATCCGTCTCTCAATTCTCCTTTTTCTTCTTTTACCCTCTCTTTGGTCTTCAATTAATTCCTTTTGCTCATAAAAGTTTCTTCTTCTTATTCTCTCTGACTCTCTTTGCTCGTTTTCTTTCTTCACTTGCATTTGCGTACACTGCCATTTGTTTATGCCGTTAAACTCTCGTCCTCGTTTTGATTAATTTTGCTCACTTTTTTCATTTTCGAAATGTTCTTCCTGCCTATTAATTGTCCGCTTTTAATATTTATGTGATGATTCTGTTCTCTCCCTACTGAATGATGGTTAAGTGGGTTTGTGTAAACTCTAGCGC